TAAACTACCTGACATCATTACACAAGGCAATAGTTATGCTGACTCTTTATTACCTTTGTTTATAGACCCACTTAGCAGTCATCAATTATTTCGCCAAAGTGCTCTCTCTTTGCAAAAACAATTGTACATTCCTTTCCCACAAGCTTAAAACATGTTAAATAATGTAATTATTGTATTCCAAACTTTCCTTCTTCCTTTGGAACCAACCCCAGAGGGTTAAAAGTTAATGACATGTGGCAAATGGATGTTACTCATTTTCCTCCTTTAGCTCCTTATTCTTACCTACATATCAGGATTGATACATAGTTGCAATATGTTTGGGTCACTCTCCTAAAGAAGAAACCACTAATCAAGCTATTCAACATATTCTAGCTCCTATAGCAGGTATGAGTAAACCAACTGAATTAAAAACAGACAGTGGTTCTGCTTACACTTCATATGGTTTTGCCACATTTTGTTCAGGATGGGACACTGTTCACAAAACAAGGAACTCCACATAATCCCACCGTTGAAGCAATAGTTGTTCATATTGTAAAAGTAAACGAACTTTACCACTATTAATAAAAGAGGAGGAATATGACAGCAAGAGACATAATCTATTATCTCTGTTGTTATTCAAACTCAGCATTTTATCTGAATTATATGATCTTTGTCTCAATCAATGGCCATCTCCTTACCTCTCTCATTTTCATTTATCAAGAACTCTACCCTACCCTCCCATGCAATATAAAAATTTACAAACTGGTCAATGGATTCTCTAACTCCATTGATAACTCGGGATGAGAGTATGCTTCTGTCTTACCCCTACAGGTCCACGGTGGGCCCTGATCCCTGTGCATGAGACCTATCCATGGCATGGCATTGAAGATTGAACAACCTGATTCCAAAGGTCCAATGTCACCTACTCTTCATGGATGCCAACCACTACGGCCCTCCTCTGAAGACGCGAAGAAGGATAACATGTCCTGAAGAACCGGTCACCTGAGAAAGCCTAGAAACTCTTGTTAATGAGGTACAAGATGCTCTTGTGCACACCCCTGAAGGATTTACTTTAGAGAGATTGTTCTTTTTTTTTTCTTTTCAAAGTTTTATTGATAAACATATAGCAATGAGACAGTTTCAAATCAAATCGAAAGTACAGTTTCAACAAATAGTACACT